GACTGCAGTCGCTTGGCAATGCTTCCGGTGGACTCATCTGCAGCCAGGATGCCCTTGCCCGGAGCCACAATGCGATGGGCAATGTCCGACAGCTCCTTCTTCTGCTCTGGGGTGAGCGCTGGGTATGGGTAGGGCATGGTGGCAAGTTCCTGGGTACAGGAGGGCAGGAGAACTGGTCAGCTACATCTTTCCAGAGCCAAACAACCAGCAGGGTCCCTGGCCTGGAGGCCAGGACCAATGCTCCCTACCTCCCCTGTCCCATAACCGGCTGGCCCCGAGCCACTTCCTGGCCCCAACTCTCCTCTCTACCCAGCTTCCTCAGGCTCGGCCTGCCTCTTGTACCTTTCCTAACGCTTGCTGGGTGTTGCCCAGCTGAGGGCGGGGCTGTGTACAGATGTCTGGGCTATAGGAAAAGGCCAGAGCCCAGGACAGGTGGGTCATGTAGAAGTTGGACCCTTCTGGCTTGCGACTTGCCATGGGGTCACTTTGCCTAGAAGTAAAATCAAACCGGAGTAGTTTAGAATTAAAAGGTCGCGTGGAGGGCAGAGCCCAACCTCCTGAACAGAAAAGGTTCTGAGAAAAGGGTCTCTGGGTTCAGGGCCAGACCTGAGACTAGAACCCAGATGCTCTGACTGCTGTGTGTGTGCTCCTTCCACCCACCCTACCTCCCACAGTAGGCGCAGGCTCGCAGGCCTCAAGGACATCCCAAGGTCAGGGGCCCTTGCCTCCCCCCCTCAGTTAGGGAGAAGGTGGTAGGGTGTTGGGAAGGGGAGGCACAGGAAAGGACAGCTGCGCTGGCAGCCCCAAGGTGGAAGGAAGGAGGGTAAAGTGGGGCGCTCAAGGTCCACACAGGGAAGGAAATGGAGGAGCTGCATGCGCCCCACCCCTTCCCCCTGCGCCCGTTTGCTCCCACAAACTGCGCCTGCTGTTCGGGGCGCAGAATCAAGACCCCCCGGATAAGGAAAGCCCGGTAAGTATTCACGCGGAAACACATAGACGCAGCCAACGGGTCCCAGGGGCACCCCTCCTCCCGGGAAGGGAACCAGGGCTGGCTGGGGAGGGGCACCCCAGAGAGCACAGAAGGGCCCCGCGTCCGCCCCAGCGGTCTGGGCAGCTGCAGAGGGGCCATAATCCTTTGCACCTGGGGTCCCTGCAGGAGCAGGGGGCGATGCGCCCTCCGACTTTTCCTGCCTCCTCCCCCGCCGTGACTCAGCGTGGAGGAGGCCGCAGCATTGCGCAGCAAACTCGGGGTGCTGACGATGGGGAGGGGAGGCTGGGAGCCGGCGTAGGCGGGGGAGGGGGGCTCTAACCGAAGCCCACCCCACCCAGTACCCTTCTCCGCTGTCTGGCCCTGGCGTGCTCGGGGTCGCTCACCTGAC